TCCCGATCGCCTGCTGAAGGAGAATCTGCATTTTTTATTATTTTTTTAAGTGTTTATTTATTTTTGAGAGAGAGAGAGAGCGCGTGCGAGCAGGGGAGGGGCAGAGAGAGAGGGAGACACAGAATCCGAAGCAGGCTCCAGGCTCCGAGCTGCCAACACAGAGCTTGACGCGGAGCTTGAACCCATAACCGTGAGATCATGACCTGAGCCGAAGTCGGATGCTCAACCGACTGAGCCACCCAGGTGCCCCAGGAGAGCCTGCATGTTAATGAAACCACTTAGCAAGTAAAGTTTGAGAAGCGCTGGGAAGGCATGGGGTCTGAAATACACCCCCCTGTTTGCTGTCTGGCCCTATGACTTACTACGTACGTGACCTTGGCAGGTTGTTTGCCTTTCCAAGTTTCCTTGTCTGCCCCTTGACGCGAACAGCCCCTGCTGCCCAGAGTTGTTTTAAGGATATAAGGAGTTCAACCAAATAGAATACTTTTTAAACCGGTCTTGACAGGTAGCACGCACTCCATATTAGCCGCGACCGGGCTGCGAAAGTATATCCACAGCTCGTGGCAGATGAGAAAAACAAAATGTGAGTAACAAAGACATTGGTGTTCTTAGACCAGGCGGGGTCCATGGGACTGTGTCTGAGATGAAGGTCCCTGGACCCAGATGAAGGTTCCTGTGTTTGGCCCCCGCCTGTGGCTCATCCTCTCAGGGCAAAAGATTTGTAGGGCTTTGTAGGACTCAGTCAGGTTTTTGGATGCCAAGAGAATGTACTTGGTTGGGTTAGGAAATGGAGTACCCTGCATTAATAATAATACGCTGAGAGCATGAGTAGCCAAGGTACCATTTACTGAGCACCTACTATGCGCTGGGTCCTCTATTAGATACTTTTAAGTTCTTATTTTTATCTTTTAAAGTTTATTTATTGTGAGAGAGAGAGAGAGACAGAGAGACAGAGACAGCATGAGCGAGGGAGGGAAGAAGAGAGAGAATCCCACGCAGGCTCCACACTGCCAGCACAGAGCCCGATGCGGGACTCGAACCCATGAAACTGTGAGATCATTACCTGAGCTGAAACGGAGAGTCGGACGCTTCACCGACTGAACCACCTTTATTTATTTTCTTGAAAAGATTTTATTTTTAAGTGATCTCTGCACCCAACGTGAGGCTCGAACTCAAAACTCCGAGATCAAGACTCCCATGCCCTACTGAATAAGCCAGCCAGGCACCTCTAAGTTCTTTTAATTCCAGTAGATACTTGATAATAGAGGGTGGGCCTGTAACGCTTCTTAAGTATAGGGCCCCCTATTCCCACACTAGAAAATTCCTCTTCCCTTCTGTAAGAACCTTTTAATAACTAAGGCTTTCAGAAGTCCCTTCCCGACTAGGGGTGCCTGGGTGGCTCAGTCGGTGAAGCGTCCGACTTCGGCTCAGGTCATGATCTCACGGTTCGTGGGTTCGAGCCCCGCATCGGGCTCTGTGATGATGTGTCGGAGCCTGGAGCCTGCTTCGGATTCTGTGCCTCCCCCCTCTCTCTGCCTCTCTCCAGCTTGTGCTCTGTCTCTCTCTTAAAAATAAAGAAGCATTAAAAAAAAAAAAGAAGTTCCTCCCTGACATTAAAGGGAGATTCATAACGGAGGGTGACTCTGGACGTAGAAAATCGGTGAAGCCCGTTTGCATCCCTCCCCCCACAGATCTGGCTGTGCCCCCAGGCCTTTGCCCTGCACTGTGTGGTCCATGCAGCAGCCGCAACCCCCTCCCATGGGAGTTTGTTAGAAGTGCAGAAGCTTGGGCCCTTTCCCAGAACTACTGAATCAGAATCTGCGCTTTACCGAGCCCTTCAGACGATGTGTAAGCACACTAAGGCTGAAGAAGATCCCTTCAGCAACAGCGAGCCTCAGCCCTGGCCGCACGGTGGAATCCTGTGCCCCGTTTTGAAAATACCACTGCTTGGCCCTCACCGCAGAGATTCTGGATTAATTGGTCTGGGGGGTGGGGTGGGGGGAGATGGGCAGGCGAGGGGAACGTCTTGAGGGCTGTGGAGCGTGGGTGCATCTCAAGACCCACAGGTTCGAGCCCCGCTGGCCCAGGTTAGCGGGCTGCAGGGACACGTCCTCCCCACGGCGGGAGGGAGTGAAGAGCAGGTGCGCTGAGAGGGGGAGGGGCCGGTCTGCAGCTCTGATGGGGACAGCTGGGCAGCGGCAGGGATGAACACATATACCCGAATTGGGCGGTCAG